TATTATGTTTTATTATTATTATTATTATTAATATTATTATTATTATTGTTATTATGTTTATAATTTGTGTAACTATAATGATTATTATTATGATTATAATGATAATAATAATAATTATTAATATTATTACTATTTTTGTATTTATAATTATTATTACTGTTGTTATTATGAGTATTACTGTATAATAACAATTATAATTAATATTTTTAATGGTAATATTTTAATAACAGTTGGTCAGGATTTCTTTCGAGATATATTTAAACCAATTTGAGCATACCGTTTTTTCCAAGCCGGTACCTAATTCAAGTTATCCCGAATCAAGTTAATAATATCGAAAATGAATTACTTTGATTTACGAGAGGAACCTTCAAATTTCATTTGGAACTCCCATTCAAATCTTGTATTGTATTTTTCAAAGAATAAGTTATTTTTAATTTCTATGTAAATTTAACAAATTCATATCTAAATTTTAGATGTAAAATTTTCATTCATTAATTAAAATGGCAAAACTCATTTCTAGAATGAAATTCATATGCAAAATTCCAGCAAGATTAGCATAATGGATATCTGTTCGACACATCGCGATAAATAGGGCGTAGGGCTTCAAAAATCACTCAAACAAACGAACTTTGAACAATATAAATAGGATTATTTAATTTGAAAATTTCTTTGTCAAAATTTAATTTCGGATGTTGGCAACACATTTCGCTAACATTTAGAATTGAGTATTGTGCTCCTACATGAAAAGCGACTGTGCATGTTTTCCCATTGATATTGGACCGACATTTATCATCTCAAGGACCGCGAACTTTTGCATGTCATCGTATGTATCGCTGGCAAATCATCTCCTGATATAATGTTAGTTCAAAAATATTATAAAGTTGAACACAGACCACTCATGATCCTCTCGTTATCGTAGTCTGATTTGGTGTTCAAAAGTGTTCAGAAGTGTTCAGAAGTGTTCAGAAGTGTTCAAAAGTGTTCAAAAGAGTTCAAAAGCGTTCAAAAGTGTTCATAAGTGTTCAAAAGTGTTCATAGGTGTTCAAAAGTGTTCAAAAGTGTTCTAATGCGTTCAAAAGTTTTCAAAAGTGTTCAAAAGTGTTCAAAAGTGTTCAAAAGTGTTCAAAAGTGTTCAAAAGAGTTCAAAAAGTGTTCAAGCTGAAGGCAATCTGTCGTTGTCATGGTTACTAAAAATGTTAAGATTAATTAACTCCAAAATTGTGCTTCAATGTTCATTTTATTGAAAATATGCAGTCTACTTTGAGTATAATGATAGCGTCAAAATTAATGAATGACATTAGATATATTTTAATTTTAAACAAATATTTTTCGATTTGGTCTCGTGTTGAATTAATCAAATATAGTTGGGCATAATTTGATACATGGAATGCATTTCAATAAATGCGGTCCAACTGAATCTTTCAATGGTACTGCATTTTAGGTCTTCGCATGGCGCATTCGATAGCAATTTTTGGGAATAACCTGTTCAACATTACGATGTTCCAGTGATCATTTCGAGAATCCAAAGACGATAGTTACGGATTTATTGCCTTTGAAAGTAAATTGCATTTGAGCAAAAATTGGGGCAAAAATTGGCGATGAATTTCATTTATATGGAAAAGCGTCTTCAGGTAGGCCTAGTCCAGAGCAAAAAAATATCTTCACGAATAGGCAGAATGTTTGTTTGCTAATGTACCAAACTTTGCCAGAACATGTACAAGATGTTGATGCATCGACAAACAGTTGGCGGACAAAGTTCAGCCAAAAAAAAAAAAAAACTTGAAAAATACATAAAAAAAGTTGACGGACGTTATTTTAATTTCAACTATAAATATAGTAAACAAGACAATAGTATATGGAAAGTTGGCGGTAATGTTTTTATTTCAGCGATAAATAGTGTTAGACAAAAGAATATATTTTTAATGTAAAGGTCGAAAGTTGAAACCTCGGCTTTTCCCAAATTTTATTTAAACGAAAGTTATTATATGATGCGAGTCGTTAAACGAACAAACACCAATTTACAATACAAGAAGAGAAAAAGGCTTGCGTGGGAGATCACCAACAATATAACAAATAACATAAATCCTATTTATGTATTATTATAATGAGGTAAGCAAAATACAAATGCTCGCTATCATGACGCTATGGTAAATAACCAAAGGAGCGCTTGCTATTGTACACGACTTACCGGAAAAATGTAACTCGGTACTCGCTGCAGTGAGTGACAGAGCGCATTTTGTCGTCCGTTAATTGTGACGTGAAGTCACGGACGGACATGACGAGCACCATAGCGCCTTTTTTTCATAAATGAGAAAATGCACAAAAAATGCTCGAAATTAGTGAATGTATGATCGTGTGTATGACTGGTAGAGTTCCAATCACCGAATATTTCTTGGCTACGACTACGAGTGCTCATTCTATAAAAATGTATGATTATTGATTCAATCCGTGAACGAAGTCAAAATAAATTATTTTTGACTGAATAATTTATTAATAAAAAAAGCGATTTGTAAAAAAAAAGAGCCTGATCTACTCGTATGTTTAGTGTAGCGAATCAAAAATTGAAATTTATTTTGCCTGAACTATCGCAAACATCGTACGTATATCGTTTGATCTATGTGATTTGATTTCATGTGTGTTATTTGCTTCTCCAATAAGACATCTTGTGATTCAATTAGTATTCTTTTAAAAAAATATGAATCTGAGAAATCTTGTAATCTCGTTTTTAATGAGTTTGCTGACCAATGAGATCGTCGTATAGGCTGCGGTTTCTTTTTTCCCTGTGGTGAACAAAGAACACCTGGAAGGTCAAATCCGAGCTAGATTTGAGGCGGGCTTAATTCGAAAAAAATCTACATGTAAGCTTTTACCTGCCCCGAAATAGGAAAGAATACAGAGCTGTTTAGGCCTACCGAACCATATATAAGCCCACATCAGCTACCCACCAGCATTCAGTCCAGTTCCAGCAGGCGTTTCAGAGTGGTGAAGGTGAGACATACTTGTAGGCCTAATATGTTATATGTGCAGTAATTCTATGCCAAAATTTATCATTAATGCAATAATTTGACGTTTGCAGAAAATTTTTGAAGCCTGCAGGGTACGTACATTTATAGTTTTAATGAATTTACTGACAAAATTTTTGCATCAGCGACACTGCAAAATTTTTCAAATGTTAATATGGAAGAAACTCGACGTATTTATATATAGCTAATTAAATGGTGCAAATTCGGTACTACATTTCCTCGGTACTGCATTTCATCTGTAGTGTTCAAATCACCTAATGTTATTAAATATACTAAAAACAGATTTTTATGAAGGAGTTACAGAAATTTTCATTGTAAAGCCTAATTTGAAGACAAAATATAGTTTTGTTCGTTCCGCAATTACGTCGGAGTTAATTTTGCGCGAAAATTTCATTTCTAGCTCGAGCGCCGTAGGGGTAAGACAGGCATATTTGTTTACGAATCTACTGTGCCATACTTCTCTTAGGACAAATTGTAAATAATAAACTAAGAATTCAGTGGTTATCAATGTGCAATTTTTTTTATTTCATAACGATTGTATATTACGATATTTATGACTTTATGAGTGTAATTATGACGACACACAATGTCACACATCTCTGGACTGACTGGACAGTGGACATAGTCATAACTAAGTCACTAGTATACTCACGTAAGCTTAGTGATATTGACAGACTACATAGGCTAGTGCCTGGCAAAGCAGAGATTTTATACTTGTAAAATCTGTTCATTTTTTAATTTCTTCAAATACTGATGATATCTGATTGTAATCAAGATTTCAAACATATTATTCCTATAATCCTATGTTATGTATGAATATGATAATGTTGGTAGGCTATCTAATCTATGGGTATGGGGGGGCTATGGCAGATGTCCCATGAGCCATGAGGCATGACTCGCCCAATCCCATGAGCCATGATAGCATCATAGCAATAGGCCTACTTACTGGTCTGCCTTTGCCCTTTAGAGCTGAAAAGTGGACTTAAAAAAAGAATCTAAAGTCTCTGCTTTGCTACAATCTTCATTCTCATTTCTCCACTCTGTAGTGTTAATAATCTCAAAACTGAAGAACAACTACTCAACTAGCTATAGGCCTAGTTAGTTAGTTATATACCTATAGTAATATATTCTCACATATGTATAAGATAATAAGATAAGTATAACAAAATGAATTGGAAGGCCTACCACACTGCATAGTGACAAAGCAGAGAGTTTTTTAGACTCTCCCTCAAGTTCAATTTTGAGTACTATAAGTAGACCAGTAAAGTATCATGGATACCAGCATTATCATACATAAGAAATTTATTTAAATCTTGAGTTAGTTGAGTAAATGAGGAAATTGAAAATGAACTGATTCTAAAAAATCTCTGGTTTGCCACTGTCACTGTGTACCACAGTCCACAGTCCACACTAGTTGAGAAAAGTCCTACTTTTTTCTGGAATATTTTGGCTCTGGCTTGAACATTTTAAATTTTGACATTGAGTTTTATTTCAAGTGTCCCAGATTACCCCACTCCCAGGGCCCAGGGGTAATTCAGGACGGTTTTATTTTGCGTCTGGCTCCTTATAAATAGCATATGGAATTTTTTTGAAGAAGCCATATGATAGCTCATAGTGGCAAAGCAGAGAGTTTTTTAGACTCTCCCTCAAGTTCGTTTTTGAGTCCTATAAGTAGACCAGTAAAGTATCATGGATACCAGTAGCAGTATTATCATACATAAGAAATTGGTTCAAATCTTGAGTAAAAAAATGAACTGATTCTAAAAAATCTTTGGTTTGCCACTATGTGATAGCTTAACCAAAGTGCTATAAAATGAGCCTAAACTTGTTTATGAAATGTTTCATGGTAAGAAGTTATTACCAAAAACTCTCAAAACCGTAACTTATTACCCTGTTAAATGGTATCTTGGAATCGAATTTGGTTGTTAGGTGTGTAGGTCTTGAGGATTTCATGCCTTGATTTTGCAAAAGCCCATAATATTATGTAGTTGAAAAAGGCCTTTTGTGCAACTCCGACTCGTATGTTCATCTGATTCCTATAGGAGAGGATAGTTGCTGTTCACTAAATTTGATTACTGCATTTGATCCTAAATAATTTGAAAATTGTAGGAGATTGAAATATTGTTGTTCAGTTGAGAGAGAGTCTAAAAAACTCTCTGCTTTGCCACTATGGACTATGGTTCAGTATTCCAAAGTTATATTTCAAATGTATGTAAAAATATATCTATGTATGTATTTCATCTATTATATTTATGATATATTTTTACAACACTTCTCTTTACCTTCACTTCTTGTTTGTCTGTCTGTCTGTCTGCTACAAATCTTATAATCAAAATTTAACACACTTCTACTTATCCAATCGATCTGAAATTTTGCACACTTGTGTAGAGTTGGAGACAATGCAAGAATCAATTCTCATACTTTCATCTTGCTGTTCATTGTTCTTCCTGAGCTGAAGTACTTTACACTTGTCAGTATTAAACCGCAGCTGCCACGTATCAGCCCAGTTAACTAAGCTGTCAAGATCATCTTGCAATTGCGCTTTATTTGACGCATCCTTCGCTGTGTTATAAACTTTTGTGTAGTCGGCATACAAGGAGCACACGCTGGACACTACTTCTGGCAGAAACGAGAAAATCCTTGAGAAATTTCAAACCATTTTTACAACACTTCTCTTTAGCTTCACTTCTTGTTTGTCTGTCTGTCTGCTACAAATCTTATAATCGAAATTTAACACACTTCTACTTATCCAATCGATCTTAAATTTTGCACACTTGTGTAGAGTTGGAGACAATGCAAGAATCAAATGACAAAATAAATAATTGTAAAAATTAATTTTTTTGCAATATTAAAAAAATTGAAAAAGTAATTTTGTCGGCTCCCAATCTTATAACTGATATATGACACTTTTACCTGTCCATTGATCTGAAATTTTGCACACTTGTGTGAAGTTGGAGGCAATGCATGAATCAATTGACAGAAAAAACAATTTTGCAAAAAAATTTATATATTAAAAAAATTGAAAAATTAATTTTTTCAATACTCGAAGATAAAATGAGATACTGGTATTCATTGTACATCTTTAACATTGGAGACACTGGGTTCTTTAGAAGTGTTGTCTTTAAAAAGTAATTTTTAAACATATATTATTATGTATTCTGTAAATGTTTGTATTTTATGTTATGATTTTATTATCATTTTTGGATGCATTATTTTATTTTTGACTGAGGTTACATCTCATAAAATACAGAATTCATTTTTCATAGTTGTGTGTCTTCACATAAAACTACTCAGAAATACATCTCTACTTTTCACATTTTTAGATGTATTTACTTGTCAAATTTTCTTTCTAAAAAAAATTACAGTGTGATTGTTTGGAAATAATCTTTTACACATTTTCTCCACAGACAAATTATAAAATGAAATACATTTTAGTTACTGGAGGTGTAATATCTGGCATTGGCAAAGGAGTCATTGCCTCAAGCTTGGGAACAATCTTGAAACATTGCGGTTTGCGGGTCACCTCCATCAAAATTGACCCCTACATCAACATAGATGCCGGAACCTTTTCTCCTTATGAACATGGTAAGGTTCTTCTTCTAGTATCATTGATTTGAAGTTTTGTGTGTTAATTCAGTATTATATTTTACTTTCCAATTGCAAAGTGGGTTGGTACTTTTACCGTGGATTGGACTATTTCAGGTGAAGTTTATGTGTTGGATGATGGAGGAGAAGTGGATCTTGATCTGGGCAACTATGAGCGCTTTTTGGACGTTACACTTCATCGAGACAACAACATCACAACTGGCAAGATTTACTCTCATGTCATTGAGAAGGAAAGAAAGGGAGACTATCTTGGTAAAACTGTTCAGGTTAGTGAACTGTGATGGATGAATTACACCTATATTACCTTTTTTACATTCAATTTGGATTAATATGCCAAATTATGAGCTGTTGACATAAGAATATATATGGTGAATATGGTATGCTTTTTGCCATTGATATTCTCAAAAACTAGTTTTCTTTTATTCCAATCTTTTTGTCAGTTACAAAACGTAGTTATAATTACAATCTTATAAACAAAATGTTTGCAGTTAATGTTAATCTGAAACAAATATAAAAATATCTTGTATTGTTGCCAGTGAGTTGGTGGCACTTTGGTCACATAAATTTCATGCAAATCATTGTGCTATTTTAGGTGGTGCCGCATATAACGGATGCAATCCAGCAATGGGTGGAGAGGGTTGCTCAAAAACCAGTGGACGGGAGTGACAGCTCTCCCCAAGTCTGCATCATTGAGCTTGGGGGCACTATTGGTGATATAGAGGGTATGCCGTTTGTTGAAGCTTTCAGGCAGTTCCAGTTTAGGGTCAAGGTAAGACTCAAAAAGAGAACTTGATTAATATTTAGTTACTGCATCTCTACAAGTCACTAACACTGAAACAATGTTTGATAAATATATAAAATAAAAAATTTGTTGAATACCGTACTCTGTATATCATTGTGCTACATCAGTGTTCAATTTAGAAATTATAGTTTGAAAATCGGTGAAGCAAGACCATTGACGTGCGATTTTCTTCTCTTTTGTCCAGCGTGATAACTTTTGTTGCGTGCACGTGTCGCTCGTGCCTCAACCTTCATGCACAGGGGAACATAAAACAAAACCCACCCAAGCCGGCGTGAGGGAGCTAAGGGGCTTGGGATTGTCTCCAGACTTCATTGTTTGTAGATCTGAGAAGCCCATCAACGAGGCAGTGAAGCAAAAGATCTCAAACTTTTGCCATGTAGAGCCTCAACAGGCAAGTCTTCAATTTTTTTTATCCAAATTCATTTGAAGTATTTTCATATCTGTTGATTTTCAAAAAAATATTGAGCATTATTTGCCAGATGAATAATGATTTATTGGTAAGAGTGTACCTATAGAATTTTAATTGCTGTCACAGAAATAAATATTAATTGTAATTTTTTAGTAAGTTTCTTGGCATATAAATGCTTTTATAATGTATTTTTATGTTAATAGCAATTAACATTTTGAATGTTGGGAAAGAGTAACTGCAAGTTTATTATGCAACTTCTTGCAGGTGATCTGCCTTCATGATGCCCGCAGCATCTATGAGGTTCCTCTGATGCTTGAGGAGCAAAAGCTTTCTGCTCTTCTCATTTCACGCCTGAACCTCGGCTTGCCTTTAGTTCGCCCCCGAGGGTTCATGAAGAAGTGGAAGCAGTTGGTTTCAAGGTGAAAATTCATTCTCATATTATTTTGGTCTCAGTATAATATCAGATGACACAGAAAAAAGAGCTTTACTGTAACTACTATTGTATAATAACATTCATCATTTTGACAGACAAGAGAACCTCCGGCAAGATGTGAGCATCGCACTTGTTGGAAAATACACCCAACTATCAGATGCCTATGCTTCAGTCATTAAGGCACTGGACCACGCAGCTCTCGCCTGCCAACGCCGACTTCGTCTAGTTTGCATCGAGGCTGAAGATTTGGAAGATTCTGCCAAGACTGAACGGCCTGTCAAATACCACGAAGCCTGGCAAAATGTTTGCAAGAGCCAGTAAGAAACGCTCTCATACCTTTGAATTCATTATATTTTGTTTCCTTGGTTTGCATGTAGAAGATACAAAGCCAACGTTTGCTCGATTCCAGGGCATTGTAATTGGTTTCATGTATTTCAATTTAAAAGATTAAAAATTTTGTAGTGATGAAAATAATCCACTGTAGGTTAACTTGTAGCGGTACCAATTATTTTGATATGCGTAATAAAGTGCATTGAATTCACATTAGGTTTCTTTAGCAGCATTGGTTCTGTACTCCCCTTCCACAACTCACTCAAGCTCTGTGTTGCAGTGGGCTGCTTGTGCCGGGTGGGTTCGGCAAGCGTGGCTTGGAGGGCAAAGTGTTGGTGTGTCGGTGGGCTCGCCTCAACAAGAAGCCTTTCCTCGGAATATGCCTTGGACTTCAAGCTGCTAAGACCATCCGTACTATGTGGGATGTCAGTACCATCCTGAATATCTTACCAGGTATGTTTCATTTTTTTTATAGCAACCGAACATGTATTTGTTTAACACATTGAGTGCGATACGACCCACCGGTGGCTCATTACTGACTTCCATCTGCTGCGAAACGACCCCGGGGCTGGTCCTTTAATAAAATAAATGTAATATTTAAATGAACCCCAAAATTTATTTTTGCCATTTTCTGCACATTGTGTTTATGATGATATATAAAAGTTTGAAATAATTGAAAGTCTGTTCAACTTTTTTATTTGATTACCAGAGAAGCATATTAATTATTTTAAATTATAAAGTTTAATTGGAACCTAAGCAGAATCGCACCAGTAGCCAGTTTTGGGAATCGCCTTCTACATGTAAAAAGTCGACCGCAAAGTTGAAGATCAGTTGTTTTAGTTTTGCTTAATGCAGTTGAAACAGTCCATGTGTTGATGTGTTCCTGATGTTTTTGTCATTACTTGCTCTCCGTTTACTTGCAGGCCTTTAAAAGCGTCCCCTCCTTTCCTTGGCCTCATATTAGCCTCGATTGGTAAACTGGACAACTACCTTAGGCGTTGTGAATAAATTTTCAGGTCAAGGAAAATATATTTAGACACGATAAGTATCGTTAAATTTTAATGAATATTAAGTTTATTTTACTTAATCAAGCTTGAATATTTGCATGGCGAATTATGCTAATCAAATTTCGTGATCTACCTATCAATAATCCTTGTGGTTGTGGATAAGTGCTTGCCGACGGTGTTGTCTTCGCTCTAAGTTCGTTCTAAGTAGTCTAAATCTATGTGGGAAATAGCTTGATAGCTGAAGCGCTAGCAAATCATTATACTACTACTACTACTACTACTACTACTACTACTACTACTACTGCTACTTTGCTGTTCAGTATTATTACATTCCGTTTTTCAATATTTACATTATGCTCTCGAATGGTGAAGCCTCATCTTCATCCACTCTGCCTGAATCTGTGGCTATCTCGTGTGCTTCCGTCAAATGATTTCCATAATTAATTTAAATCATTGAGTGCTTATCTCGTTTTCTCGAACATTGATGTTTGGTCGAGACTAGGCACATTACTTTTCAAGAATATTTCTAAAGCTAGCTAAATGCGTCAAGTGAAGTGTGCACTAAAGTGTAAAAATTCGACCTGAGATTGTTAAATTAGGTTCTTTGCTAACTCAAGGTAGTTTTATTAGGGACTTCATCTGAAATAAGTCAAATAACCCCCATTTGGTGAGAGATAACGGGAGTAAAATTTATGGGTGACTAATTTATGAAAATTCTGATTAAAATTTTATGAGTGACTCCGTCTGAAAGAACCCAATTTGGTAAGAGTTAACCGGGAGTACAATTTCTGACCATCTCGACTTGGAGCTCGTATTACCTTCCTCATGGTTACAGTTGGTTGCATCGCCCAGGTAGACAGGCTATCTTTTTACGTTTCTCACTCGTCGTCCGCCCTTGTGACTTATGTTACGAGCAACTCTGTTAGGGAATTTGAATTAGGTATTTTTATAATTTTGTATTTTTGTAATTTTAGTTCAGTTTAGAAATGCGGAAGTTAGATTTGTAGGTTTTAGTCCATCCTAGTCAGTCCCGCATTTGAACCCACAGTGTCGAGGTGTGTTTTAACTTGGTTATTTGTTTGTTCCTGTGTTTTACTTTTAGTGCTTATTCCGAGATGTTCTTTATTCTGTTATATTCTGTAAAGTTAGATTAATTTACTCATGAGAAGGTTTGTTCATACCTTGTCTTTTGTTCGTTTATTTGTTACTAGGTTATTTATTCTTTTTTCTTTAGGAGAGTTTTTGGAACTACAGATTTCAAGAGCGTTGTTTCTGAAGTGTCTTTTATTGCAAGTCTTTGTTGGGGTCTGCGTTAAAGTACTGTATGTACGGCTGGCTGAACCTGGGTGACCCCAGCACTGTGTCTGTTGCTGTTCACTCATGCCGTATGCAATTTTAGTTCATTTGAAAGGCGTATACTTGTTTTTATCTTTAATTGTAGCGCTGTTTATGGGATGTATTTAGGCGCTTTGAAGTCAATAATACTTCTTTTAATTTGTGTAATAATTCTAATTTAATAATTTAATTTGTGACTTTGCTCTTTCCGCGATCTATATTCGTTGTGAATAAGTCAATGTCGAGACTAGGTTATTTGACTTTTCCTAATTTTCCTAATTGATTGAATGAAATACCCACGAGTGCTGCCCCCTCAGGGGGACTTCTGACGCGTGTCTGTGCTCGTCAGAAGTTCTATGGGATTTCGCGCTCCTGGGGGGATTGTTCCTGAGCGCCCCACCGCCGAGTTCGCGGTGTCTGACTGCGGGCTTCAGCTGCGGGGTTAAGTTAATATGTAGGTAGGATTCCTTACATCAAGTTATTATGTACGTAGGATTCCTTACATTTCCTTTCTCTGTCTCTCGTGCGGGCGGCCGACGTCCCGTGTAAGCGACCTCTTGTTCGAGTGTCTTAGTTTCTGTTGCTTTTCACCTGTCCCTCCTTGTCACTTCGTCTCTTTGAGATGCTAACGCTGCTTCTTTCGAGCCAGCTTCAGCGGGCTGGACATCTGAGACTTCCCGCCCCTTGTGGGTGATGAATTAATTTTGATTTGAGAAACTTTCGATAATTGAGACCTTCCACCTATTTGGTGATGTTCATTTTGACTTTCAGTGCGAGGCAGCTAAATAGCTGAAGCGCTGGTAAGCGTTTGGCCACTAAACTAAACCATGAGTGCTACGCGGTTGAATAGGTTAAATAACATGATTTAACCTAACTATCTGTTTATGAAAGGAGGCAGAATGTCTACATCGATCAATCTCTTTAATAATCTCTTTCATTAAGCATCTACCTGATTTTACGGAATGATGTTTTGCATAATTCTTCTCTTGAATATTATTTAAGGATTTCGTGTATTAGTAGTAGGATTAAATGGTCTTCCGTTATCGTAAATTATTCTGCTGGGGAAATAGTGAACCGCGATACCTCCACACATTAGTTATCTCGTCAGTTGTTATTAATAGCACTGGATGGCTGCGTCTTACAACTGAGATCATTTGAATTTGGTCCCGTGGCTGCTGCATGGTATGCGTAAGCTTTACATTTGTGTTGAATTAAAAGTTGGAAACCGCTTGGTACGTGCATGTCATGCTCATTTTAACTTTCGTCAATTTAATTATCTGGTGCGTTTTAGTTAAGTGTTGGTTCTCGAGTCAACAGATAAATATTTTGCACGTACTTTTAATTGCAACAGCTCTATCTGGCTATGAGCAACTGATTTCATGTCATGCCTTATGTTTGTTCGTAATGAGGAATTTTAGTTGTCTGACATACCTTGGATGCAATACTAATTTTATGCCTCAATTCATACCAATAATATAATTTGTTATACTGGATCCAGGTTGAATAAGAAGGAAGCAAACAACGTGTTTTTACAATCCTTTGAAACGCATATATCTAGCAAGTATGATGGAAAGCAAATGTCTTCAATGATGTTCTAAGTATTTGGAATAGTCGCAAATTGCTAACACTCTGAATGGGTTTGCACTAAAAGCATACCAATAGTTGACGTCGAGAATGGTTACTGTCAATTTCTGACTTACAGTGACTTCTGCATTCGTTAACATAGTAAACAATTTTTTGACTATCAACTGCCGGGAGTTCAAAGTCTTCCTTCAGTCAACACGAACTTTTTCTCATCGCTCAGAATCAGTGCTTCAATGATTATGAAGTTAATATTACATGCAAGGCGAGTCAGAGAGGGACGTTTTTTTTTAATATTTTCAAGAACGATATGCAAAGGCAGGAAGCTGAGCTGCATTCGATGCGTCCGATGTCGTGGGTTATGAATCTTTTGTTCTAATCGCTGATACGAAAATGCTTCGTGTCAGGCAGACCCGAAATCATTGCGACAAATGAGTTGACGGCCTAAAGATTTGGCGCAATGCCACGTCTCCACGTGTTTTTTTTTTTGCAAATAGTTTTACATTGAAGTGAAGTGTGCAGGGAAACTGAATTGTAGTAGGTAGAGTATAGTGATGCCGGCGCTAAAGAATAGGGCTGGTGTGGCCTGTCACCGATTCTTATGCTTTTAGTAAGTTGTTCACAGGAGGTCTTACAACAGGTCCTTTGACCGTAACTTTTTTAAACTGACGTTAGTTTGAAATAGCTACTAGACTTCAACCAGAGTCCTATGGTGCTAGGAATTTCAAGTCTGAACATTTCTGAATTATACCAAGATCTGCTATAATTGTTTTCATATTAACCCCCGAAAAACGTTAATCTCGTGTCCGATTGTTTTGTGTGACTTGTTTAATTTAAGTTCACTGGCGTAATCTCGACGAAAACGTTGACTAGATTTGATCTTATTTTAGTCTGATCTACAGGGTCCGCCATGTTTATGGCAACGCATGTTTCCCTTATTTCTCAATAAAACGGGTGAATTTATTATTTTTTTTATTGGATGAGCTAATAGTCAAGTCGTACAAAACACTCCAACGCGTTAATTCAATACGACCACCTTATTTTTCATGACGGCCACGAATGAGACTCGAAAGATGCCAGCACATTCTGAATCTGATTGAGGATTGCATGCTGCATAATTTGGTGTTAACTATTTAGTAGTTAGTAACTATTTTAAACCATTGTCAGTTCTGGAAAATCTATCAAAAGACCTCTTTTTAGAACCACTGTGAACAAGTCACTAAAAGTTCAATAATCGGTGGTAACGATACTGTGGGTGATGAAAAAAATAAACTGAAAGCAACCGCGTCGTGCCACTGTCCAATTCGAACAGAACTCCATGTCTACTCTGTACTCGGTGCCAATACCCAGGCAAGAAATTAAAAATGGAAAACGTTGACAGCATAAACTTGACCTAAAGACACGACTCTCAAATAACTTCGAAAGCTACATCATGAAGAAAACTTTGCGGGGCATTGTGTCCATCGTTTTTGCACACGAAAAAAGTTTCTGCAAAATAAGTAACCGAACTCCCCAAGAGATTGAGTTTCGTCTACTAGAAGACGGGCCAAACCTCTTTATAGCTTCATAAGTCAGAACGGAGCAGAAATCTCCAAACCTTCTAAGATCTTCGAACGAACCATCAACACGTACCTACCTACAACGCATTACGCGTCTCGCCATCTGCTGTGCTGAGCTCTGAACGTACATACGAAACCCGATGAATCAAAAACCTCGATCTGCAATCGGAGCGAGTGTGTAGTAATATAAAGACCTTGAAAACAAAGCTTAATGAATGGACGTTGACTTTGTTGAAGAACAGACTCACGCACTTTCATGTCTACTCGTGCCACGTCCAGTATGCATGCGACATGCACATTTCTTCTGTAGCCTCAGGACGCGAGCTTTGCACTTGCAGCGGCAGCGCCGTACTCTAAATTCGTATTTCGTCAGCTTTGACCGGTGACAGACATACCTGTGGTTGTACTTAAATTTGAAAGAAACAAAGAATTTTCATACAAAGTAACGGTAATATTACTTGATACAATTGAAACATAAAGTGATAACTGATAAAAGGTTAACGATTGGATCATTTGAATCAAGAAG